ATGTGCTGATTTTCAGTCATTTTCAACCCTTTCTATGCCCTAACCCTTAACCTAACCATTACCAATGCATACCTCACCATAACCCTAACCCAATTGACACCTTATTCATAAACCTAAGCATTAGCAACAACTGGTCCTCAATTTGATGGTGAAACTGGAAAAATGCTCCTCACTCTGAGGGCTATACAGGTACACACCCATACTCCTTCTGCTATATGTAGTGAGGACCATGTGTTGACTCCCATTGACTTTCATTTATTTTCAGTCATTTTCAGCCCTTTCTATGCCCTAAGCCTAACCCTAACCATTACCAATGCATACCTCACCCTCACTCAATTGACATATTGGCCCTAAATCTAACCATTAGCAAAATAATCCCCACTTTGCAACAACTGGTCCTCAATTTGATGGTGAAATTGGGAAAAATGGTCCTCACTCTGAAGGCTAGGCAGGTACACAGACACACACACACACACACAAACCAAACAGATCCACTGCTGATCATAATCAGCATGAGGTAAAAGGCAGACAATCTGTTGAAAATACAGCATCTCAGAGCCGTTCAGCTCTCCTTTGTTTTTCCACCACTCTGTTACAGCTGTGTATTTACTGCCTCTTCTTAGGAAACATCCACCTGTCTTTTGTGTCTGGAGGAATCAGATGTGTTGTAAACTACAGGCTAAAAACAAGATAACCTGTCTGTGAGGTTATGGGGGCTTATTTAAGGAAAAAAGGAAAGTGTGGGGATAATTTCCTTGTATTGTGAGCAGAGAGATGAAGTCTACATCTCTATAGGTTCCCTTCATGTGTTTGTGTACTGCAGTGTAAACACAGACTGGCTCATTTAACATTCAACACCCCCCCAGAAAAAGACAAGTCATCGCTGACCCCCCAGTTTAGTAACATACCTCGGTACGCAGCTGGGTGAGGATCGGTCCACCTCCCAGGTGGCGTACAGGTTCATATGGACGGGCCGGTTGGAGGTGATGCTGACCGGCTTGGAGGGCTGCATGTGCGGCGAAGGGACGCCCCCAGTCCGCGGGAGCCCTCCGCGCTCCGACATCCTGGAGGCTGGGAACTAAACGGGGTAAGGGGGGTTCGGAGCTTAACGTTGGTCGATAGTTTTATTCTGGGTCCTTCTCCTCTCTTCTTCGCAGGGTTTCGCCGTTTTTCGGGCTCCAGCCGCAGGGTTAAAGGCGTTCAAAGCTCGCGAGCGCTAACGGAAAGTTGCTCCGTTTCTGGTGCTAATCAACGACAGGAACAGAAACATGCCCGAGTTCTGGACCCGACCCAGTCAGGAGAAACGGACCGCCAGTGGTCTCAGTCCGGACGTCGTTTCGGAGGTCGGCTCCGTTCCTGCTGGTGTTTATCGGTGCAGGAAGCGGAAATTTGTGTGAGTGAAGTCGCAGAGTGAGCAGAAATCGAGATGAACAACGCCTCTTCAGTCAGAGGAAGGAACGCGGCTCTCTGAGCACGAGACCCACTACAGAGGAACTGACCAATAGGAAGCCTCCCTGCTGTTATTGTCTGACTGAACTACCGCCTACCTCTATATAGCTACATATATATCTATATCTATAGATATA